AATAATCTAATTGCTTAAGAACAATGTGATCTGGAATATTACATAATTTTATTAAGAGAATCAATTTTCTATTTGGCAAAGAGGGAATGACATTAGTGAAACCAAAACACAGCAGTAATCTACAGAAAAGGAACATAAAATCAACAATTGTAAATCAGCTCAGCAAACTACTCCAAACTTTACATTATCACAGGCGGGATGATGGCTACATGCATGTGTCCTCTATTCTAATACATGTTGTATAGTCATCTACCTCTCTTCACACTGAGTCCAGCAGTGCCTACAGCTGAGTTAGGATAAACATACTGTATCTAATGCTGACAAATCTTCCAGATCAATGACAACTGTTTATCCATTGTTTCAAGGTAATCCAAGATATACAATGGCTATATAAAACCCACCTTGACCAATTAGCAAATGACAATTTGAATGAATTTGAATGAAGATGCTTAACAAATTTTGACCAAGCAAGTGGAGGCTCATCCCTAAACCAAGTGAGGTACTGCCAGTCCTGTGCTACAAACACTCCACTGTGTTACAACCTTCTGCCTCTCACATTTGAAGCATCTCATAGCATTTTGACAGCAGTTACCATTCATATAAGAACAGAATAAAAGCTATATTTTACAACAAGCCATTTGCCTTATCTTGCTTGTTTGGTAGTTTAGTAGTTAAGCAAATCTAAACCTTCATCCATATTCTTCTTGAAGTTCATGTTTGTGTGGGAATTCTGTTACTGAAAATAACAGAAAAAAAAACAATTTTGAAACAGTAAACTAAAAATAACTAGCATTTTTTGTGCTTAATATTTTTATATAGAGTGATGTTTTTTGTAGTACCATGGGAATCCCTATTAGCACCACTGCTCTTCCTTTTTTTTGTCAATGAAGTACTTTCTGGTAATAGACAACAAGTCAATTTTTTTACAATAAGATGTGAAAAAGAGGTTAACTGATTTCTTTCTGCACAAAGACTTATTGTGACACAAGACATTCCATGCTTAAGCACCTTTGAGATATGGCAGGGATGGGAGTTAATTGATATGAAATTCCAAGTGCAAGCTAGAGACTAACTAAGGAAAGATAAAACTGACCATTAAAAGGTCTTGGGAATGTCCAAACATAGGTGCCCCCCCCCATTACCAGCAGCCATATCACCCTGCAACTCACAACTGGCAACCCACTGAAGCTAAGCAGGTGTGAGCCTGGTCAGTACCTGGATGGGAGACCTCCTGGGAAAAACTAAGGTTGCTGCTGGAAGAGGTGTTAGTGGGGCCAGCAGGGGGCGCTCACCCTGCGGTCCATGTGGGTCCTAATGCCCCAGTATAGTGACGGGGACACTATACTGTAAACAGGCGCCGTCCTTCGGATGAGACGTAAAACCGAGGTCCTGACTCTCTGTGGTCATTAAAAATCCCAGGGCGCTTCTCGAAAAGAGTAGGGGTGTAACCCCGGTGTCCTGGCCAAATTTCCCCCCTGGCCTTTACCCCATCATGGCCTCCTAATAATCCCCCTCTATGAATTGGCTACATTACTCTGCTCTCCTCCCCACTGATAGCTGATGTGTGGTGAGCGTTCTGGCGCACTATGGCTGCCGTCGCATCATCCAGGTGGATGCTGCACATTGGTGGTGGTGGAAGGGAGTCCCCATTACCTGTAAAGCGCTTTGAGTGGAGTGTCCAGAAAAGCGCTATATAAGTGTAAGCAATTATTATTATTATTATAATTATTACCATGGTAACAATTTGTGTCAGAAGTGGCTGAAATTTGCTATATAAACTGGAAGTTTTGTACCTATATTTCTACAACAATACTTTGGTCTTATTGTTCCTTGCATGCAATAAACTCAGTTGTTTTAATGTTATCTTAGGGTCCAGCACTTATTTGTCTGTTACAACAATTATACCAAAATAGGAGCATTAGCAAATGTTGTTGAAGCTGCTAATTCAAAAAGATTTCAGAATTCAAAGAATGAGTAGGTTATATGTAAGGAAGATAAGTGCACAGTGCACATTACAGGCAATGTGTAGAAGGCAAAAAATGGCAAACAATGTTAGAACACATACTGTAGTTAAATGTTACACCTTAAGAAGGCTTCACAGCCAAATGTTCTGTCTCTTTTCTTTTCAGCATGAAATAAATTCTGCTTGTTCCTTTTCAGCTTACACATGCTTATGCAGCTACCTGCTTGAACTCGTTAGAAGTTTACAATTTTAATCAAGGAGTGTTGATAATTGTGCATTGTCTACTAATATCTTTTTTAAACATTGTGTACAGGTGTGGTCTCCACGTTTCAAAAGATATGTTGGTGTTCTGGAATCAGTCTGGAAAAAAGCAACCTGATACTTTTAGCAGTTTAAGAACTGATTTTATCATTTTGAATACAGGAAACTACAGGAGACTTACTTTTCATTTAACTTTTCTTTACACTCAATTGCCTATAGTGAGACACATACCAGATGACACAAGTGGAAACTACACTGGAGTGCATTTAAAACCAAGGCCAAACTGAAGTACTTTTTACACAATATTTTGTGAGAATCCTGTACAAGCTAGTCAGCCATGTTGCAATACCAAAGCTTCTTTTAAGAAATAGTCAAACTGAGACCCTTGGATCAATATGCTTCTAGCAATAAAATGAGCTAAATGGGACTGAAGGAATCTAACTCTTGCCATTCTTCCTGGCTTGAATGCATTTTAAACAGACACCCGCTGTTGAATATGACATCTCAAGGATTGCTGAAAGGTTGGGATAACATTATCAGGAATAGCCACTGTGCCATAAATGCAATGGTCACTCATAAATCCCCATTCACGCTAAAAGCATAGGGTTTCCATAGTTGTACAGTGTTGAAATCTAGGACACTGTGGGGGATACAACTTGGGGAGTGTCTTCTCCCAGTGTTATCTGATAATGTCTGCTTTCATCACAAATGACTTAATTTCATCTCAGACCTTCACTAGACTACACAATTACTCCTTGCATCCCAGTAGACCAAGTGGCCTCTTTGTAGCCCTTCTTACTGCGCAGTGTATGTCCTTATGCACATGCCTCAGTTATATCCTAACTTGTCTGAGCTTTTAGATGCTTGTATAGATTTGCAGGAATTAAAGGCAGCTGCTACTTCTACTGTATGTATAAGCAGGAACATGTCCCAGATGGCATTCCACCAAGTGTATTGCTGTCTGTATTTTTGACTGAGATAAAAAAAAATCTGTTCTGATTTTCCCTTTTCTTCAAAATACAAAGATCCACTAGAATGATTTAACTGTATTACTCCATTTGATGTATTATAATATCTATTGGTTTTAAATTCTGACAAAATTATCTGTAAAAGCTCTTTATAAGCGGATGCAAAATCTAATACACCATGGCATTTAATACACCATGACTAGACAGACTTGGAAATGCGGATAGGCTTCCAATAAGATATTGCTTCTCTTCCATATTGTATCCATAATGGATTTACTCCCTCATCATCAAGAAGCTTCTTATGCATTGATTTATTTAGAATGAGTGAAGGCGTCTGATTACCTGGAATACAATTACCTATGGGCTGCTCAAGAATGATTTGTTTATAACCTAATTTATTTACTCAATTGATGTCTTCCATGTTTAGCAGTCTAACCTTTGTGTAAAGAGACATTCCTTCATTTACAATGGACAGAGGTATACAACAGGGTTGTTAGCAATCCCAATTTTTTGTACAGGGTATGTTCTTTCATTGTCGTAGAGGGGTCCACGCATACCATGATTCCCTCTGTGCTGACGGCATTCTCTTGTGTCTCTCCAATAATTCTAATTCTACACCCCACATCTGAAACATACTTAGATACCTTTAGTAGAGCCACCAGACATACTATAAGTTGTCCAAATAAATCTGTATACATTTGAAATATTTGATCTGTATATATGCAATGACAAGTTATCTTCCCCCATATTCCTATTTAATTGTAGTCATTTTACTTATTTGAGTATGAGACTCTTCAAAAATATGTTTGACATCCTGCATAAAGTAATATGCATGAATTAAATGTAACTTGATGTTCTCTTTTACAGGCTACATTGGTATTTAAATGGTATTTAAAACCATTATTTAAACGAATGTCCTTCTTCACATTAGTGTCTTATTTTCCTTGATCCTTAATTCACTACTAGCAGAAAACCAAAAACAAAATACATCTATTATAAATTCAGTGAAATCTGTATTTATAATATGTAACTGTATTATGTGACTCACTTGAGAGAAACTCAGAAAGTGGTAACTCAATGCAGACAGTATGCTAATAAAGGGGACATAATGTCACAACATTCTGAAGTGCATTTCCTGTAATTATACAGCATGTATATTTTAACAGGTAAAACATGACTAGAACATATGTTTAGGATTCAGTCTAAATAAATTATTTAAATTTATTGAATTATAAAAATAAAAGACAGGACAACATGGGAAACCAAACAATGCTTTTGCAAAAAGAGCAGAATTAATATACAGTAAGTTATGTTCAAATTAATGCAAGTTTTATACTACACTAGAAAGACCCCGTTTGGTACAGTATATCGTAAACCATTGTGGTCAGAGTACTACAAAAGTATTATAGCTTCAGAAATAATTTGAAGGGCAACAAGAGTGATTCCTTGAATCAGGGAATAGAGTACTTATATACCAAAAATTAAAATAAACTAAATATTTCAGTCTAGAACAAAATGTGGTCCTTGTAGAAACAGACATTGAGGGAAGATATTTTCCTTTGGCAGAAAAATAATTTGGGGTCTCACCTGAAAACTAAGAGGGAATTCAGTTAGGAAATACAGTAGGAAACAGTTCATAACACAAGTTATAGCTATTTGGAACAGACTTTCCAGCCAAGTCAAAGATACCTAAAGTGTGGGATCTTTCGGAAAATGACTGGGAAAAAATTATATTTACCTGTTTTCTATACTACCACCTTTCTTATTTTCTTATACAGCATAAGGATGTCAGTGAACATTCTGCTTACCAATTATCCAGTACTGTACTTCTTCCACACAGATCTGAATCCATAAAAATAACTGCTTCATGCAGAGTTGGGGTTACTTTGCCATCTGTGACTGCAAACATAAAAAAGTCATTTTCAACAGGAGATAGTTCAAATGGTAACCGCACGGGTGGATGGCTAATACTGTATGGTTGGTTGAATGAGTATGCTTGTGCTTTCATTTGGACGATCAAGCAGCCAAAGGCTGACAACTTTACTGCACTCTACTGCACTTGGTGGCCTGACTGTACATAATTCTAAGCAATAATTGTAGGTTTTATAGTTGAAGATATAAGATAAAATCATCATCTTCATGGTGCCTGACTGGAAAAGATTAAACTAAGCAAATGAGACTGAAAAGATATTTTTTTTTATATCCCCAAGGGCAAGAATATCTCACTTTGAATGGTCCTAATCCTTACTTACTGGACACCAGTGCACTATAATTCATATAAGCTTTCGATTATTTAGAGTGACACCTCTTTCCGTCAGGTTCTCAGCTTTTTCTCCACCCATCTTCCTCTACAAGAAATATTTTTATTTTGATGACATCTTTGTTGATAACTACAACCAGCATACGTGTCAGGATCTGAGGGAAACTTTTTACCTCCCCACCAGTTCTTTTTCTATGTATATTAGACTCTGAGAGTTAAAGAAATCAGTTGCACCTGCAGTAAGCAGTTTCCCCTCACTTTAGAAGAGAACGGAAAGAAACTTTTTATCTTCCATTGAGATAGAAGGGTAAAAAAGTAATGTGTCAGGGGAGACAAACAATCATCTATTGTATGAATAATAAACTCTTGGCTATACAAATAAGACATATACAATATAGCGACAGTTGCAATGTTCAGCCTATTGGAGACATTCTTTTAGTCCCAACCTTGGGCCAAACTGGATCTGCCAGTGAGTCAAAAAGCAAAGAATATCTTAAAACAGGTAATTACTGACATATCTAATGAGACCAACAAGTCTCATATACATTGTTGGGACCTTACATCACTCAGACGGTTGCTATGTCCAAGAGACTATCATTTAAAGTTAAGGTTAGACCTAGGGATAAATAGAATCTGTTGGTAGTTGGATTATCTGCAAATAAGACCAACATACTCTCAGGTAAGTAATGAACAAGTGACACAGTTATGGAAAGTGATATTGGGTGGTTTAACCTACCTGTTTATTTCTCATACAGTATATAGGATATAATACTATAAATGTACACAGGTCCTCCAAGATACAGTGCCTGACAAAAGGATCAAGTACACTACTCCACTTATGTTTTAGTAGTATCCTTCGATAGAGTGTTTTTAGATGTACAGTATGTGACTAATATAATATTGGGTGTGACGTGTGTGTCTGTGACAGAGTCACCATCTGCTCTTTATCATCGACGACACTTAAAGTAATGTTACGATAAACACTATTTTTAGTTGGGGGGCAACTGACATATCCTGGTTACATTAATTATTGGATATTGTTCTTATGGTAAGAAGTGTTACTAGGGATTAGGTCACATGTCGTTAATTTGTTAGTGCAATATCTGTGAAAATATCTATGAAAAGCATGGTCGAATATTTTCTCTAATCTTCAAAATCTGTCAAAGTAGTCACATTTTCTTTATTCTGTGAGCCTCCTTATTCACTTGTTACTAAAAACACAACTCAATACTGTAATCATGTTTCATTGTGTGTGCATTACTTTGTTTAAAATGTTGTTTTACTTTGAATAATTCAAAACGACAATTGGTAAAGGAGGTTATTGTTTTTTTCCTTCATTTATAAGTCATAATGGTTACGGATCCTTTTAGAGGGAGACTATCTTCCAAAACATTGCAGATAACTACATAAAAAACAAGTTTGGAAAAGAAACTAAACTACTACTCCTTTACTTGAGCAACAGTGAAATTTAGAGTAGAGGTTTCCAGTTCAGCTCTTAATTAGTTAAGATTACAGAACATTTAATTCACTGAATGGAGTTTATTTAACTAAAGTTTGGGAGGGCTGACAACAACCACGCTCAATCATTCCCAGCCGTCAGTGATTAGCAATCACTCCTTTCGTCCTGCCTCTACCAAACGCTATAAATAACAAATGCGATACTTCTCTCCCTCTCCTGTGACTTTTGCATCCCACCTCCACCCCAACTCCACCTCTACAGCTACCCCTTGGTTACCTTGTGGGGGGGTCCTGGCCTCCTCGTCCTATGGCCAGGAGGTCAGCCCTCAGCCAAGCGGGCTAAGCCAAATATTCGCTCCACAATAGTTTGTTAAGCTCGGATTTTGGGCGTTGTCATTCCTAGTGAAATGTATTAACTGTACTTAGGACTTAGTTCCATAGCATTATTGAGAATGGGGGGCAGAAGTCACTAGAGTGTGGTAATATTCCAAATCCATACATTTAATCTTGAGTGCTCTGTCCTTGAATGTTAAATACTGTCTAGCTACTTTTACCCAATTTTGTAAACATATTAATTACCCAGTAAATAAATATGTGTACAAAAACAAAGTAAATAATGAGAATAATTAAACATTGTTAGCTACTCGGGATGGTGTATTGTATAATTATTGCTGGAGGCTTCAAAATACTACAAAATATAATTTTGTAATGTGACATTAATGTATACACAATGTACATAGTTCCAGATTGCCCCATTTTTCTTTTTCCTCACAGATTAGCTGTATGTATAATTCACTTAATCTGTTTTGATTTGAATTAGTACGCTTAATAAGGCATTGTAGTTCAATGATTTAATAATTAACCATTTATTATACATGCTGCCATAAGTTATGTACGCAGAAATTTTTGTGATATGCTCTTCTTTACCTTATAGTCTTATTGCTTTTGATTTTATGAGCACTCCCCTGCTGTGTCTTTGTGATAGGATTTATATCCTACATTTTTTTTTCTAAAATGATATTATAACAGTAGTTTGCCATCAAATGAACTGAAAAGATACACAACTCTTCTCTTTTCACCTTGGGCTCAATACAGACAACTCAGTCCAGTTAAGTTATTTAATATGTACAGTACTTGGCAATTTATTAAGCAGTGGAACTTTACATCCCATACTTTGATAAAAATGTGACAGGAACTGTAGATATGGGAAAACTACCATCTACCAATCTAGGATGGGAAAAACTACCATCTTATATCTTTCATCTGTAAAATTGTTCATTTTGAGCATTCATGTTTTGATTAAAATATTCACTTTAAAATATGCTTATATACATACATCATTTGTAATTTAACAAAATGGGACAATTGTAGAAGGGTATGGATATTTTTACAAGGGACTGTATATAGATAACTTGAAATGTTATTAATCCTGGGTATTGAAAGGCATTCAAACTATTTTTAAATAATCATTCTGTTATGGGGCAGTGTTAAAATAAAATAATTATTTAAAAATATAAATCTAATAACAATAATGTTCATAATCATCAACCAATGTCACCATTGTATAAATTAACTGATTCTGAAAGGAATTTGACAGTTTATGTATTAACAGATACAGGTATGATTAATTATCCTGGCATAATTAATCCTGGGCTTTTCTTTTTTATTTCACAAATACAGTAAATGCATAAAGCTCATTAAAGGTGAGGGATGGGGATCTTTTCCTAGACAAGTTTAAAACAAGCAGCATTGCCTTGCTTCAGCACTGGGGCTAAAGTCATTGCTATCACTTTTTAACTTTGTTCTGTGAAACTGCCTTAGACCCCATGCAATTATTTGAATCCTGTAATTCATATTGATTTTCTAATCCTCTAAATATCATGTTTAAAGTGTAACCTATAAAGAATATTTACTATTTTTTTAAATTATTATATTTTTTAAATAATTATTCAGAACTTCCAGGTAATTTTTCAGCTTTAATGCTAATATAGCATTTTTGTCTTTTTCACCTTGGATCTTTTTTTCTTTCTTTTCTAACATGTTTTCTTGATTAGTCATAAATATCTGATTCTTGGGCCTTTAGCTCTAAATCAGTAGTCCATATCATCGGTATTTACCATATTCATACATACCAAACTGTTGGCTATGCAACCCATCTTTGTTGTTTATGCTTCAATGTCATCTTCAATGGTAACTATTTCACCAAGTATAAAACACTCCTCAAAGCTGTTTTATGCAACGTAGTAAGGTGATTGATGTTCTGCAGTAACCTGCATCATTTTGAGTAACAACTGGGCACTGACATCTGATATATTTCCCTGTCTCCTTTCTTCACATGCATATTAAACAAGAACCAAAAGGAGGACACTTGTTTTCAAAATGCAAGAATTAACCAAGGAAATAGATGACATATGGCTTTATATTAATATTTAAAACAAAGATTTATTCTGATAAGATAAAATACATCTGAATATGAAGTGCATGATGCACTAAAGCTCAACAGTACATCCTTAGTCACAGCTCCTGATTATAGCATTTTCTGTTTTTGCTCACAAATCTTAAAAATACATAGAAACCACTTTTGGGAAATCTTTACCTAACAGTCTTATGTACACCCAATACATAAGGTACACATCTGAGAAATCTGACCATGCTTACTGTATCTTTCCTTGGCAAAGCCTACTAAAGATCTTTCATTCTTATTAAATGCAATATACTGTATAAACTTACACTCTGCTTTCCACATTGAGAACCACTACTGGGTGGCAGGGACCTTTGCAGTTGTGATGGATGCTGTCTCACACAATAGTAGAGAGAAACCAGTGGCATTTGCCTTCTGCCCTATCACTTTAACTGTATCTGTGGCATAGAGAGATTCATCGGTGAGTAGGTGGATGTGTGAGTTTTGGCATCTCTACTTGTACTATTGACCACTAGTGACTCTGGACATAAAACTGCTCCAATGGGATAAACATTTGCAATAGTACCATTTTGCTTTGAAATTCACATGGGGTCACAGAACACCATTGCTCTCCAGAGCTGTGGTCTCTGTATTCGCCCTTCAGGCCTTTGATCCTGAGTATAATCTTGTGCTGTTTTTTCATAAACCTATAGCACTAGTTATCTCAATGGAACAACTGCTTAGTGCTCCCCAGGAAGAGAGAGAACTTAGGAATCACTA